TGATGAACATAATCCATGTTAGAAATATAAATTGGCATATGCTTTAGTATATATTTTTACCAAAGCTTAAAAATGCATATTACACACATGCACGTATTTTTTTAACTTTAATTAAATATGCAGGGTTTTGCTCTATTAGTTTATATTTTAAAAAAGAAAACACCTTTTCCCCAGAATAATTTGTTGATTTAACCAAAATTATATAAGAGAAAGTTTACTTTCAGATAATAGACTATAAACTCTTTCTAATTCAGTGTCACTGCAACAAGAGAACACATGGCTTACACTGTGGAATGCCTGCGGGATGATGTGTAAGTATCTACATGGGTTTATGGGGTTTAACGTTAAGGAAATATTAATAAACAACTCCTTGCTGATGTGTTTGAAATGAGGGATTATAACTTCTCACCTTTGTTCTGGGTTCTTATTCCCAAACTGTGTGTAACACTATACTCAGCACAAGGGATGCCTCTGTTTGAGATTGAGAGCGTTTTAGTTACGTAGACTCATGGACGTTGGTTTTAAACTTCTTGTTCTTACCTTGATGTCTTCTGTAGTGATATTCTAATGGAGTTCCTGCTCAATATCACCACAGCACCAGAATTTCGTCACTGGGAAGTAGCTGCTCTTCAGTCTCAGTTAAAGATTGACAAAGCTGTGGCTTTCCAGAATCCACAGACTCGTAAGTGCACTTACTTGTTTTAAAATAAAGTTGTTGTTTTTAAAAAGTTTTTTTTTTAATTTTTATTGTATTATTTTTACGTGTACCGTCAAATCAGATCTGACTGGTAAAGGCGGAGGTTGTGCCCTCCTTCTCCAGCAGAGCATCTGGTGGATTTGAACCACTTACTTCTGGGATTGCAGTGCAGCGTCTTGCCACTAGGCCACCAGAGCTCCCTAAAATAAAGTATTTTTTGAGATCCATTTGTAACAGAAAAAAACAAACTGATATGGAAATATTTATCTCTTCCAGTTTGTAAAGTATGTCTTCCCAAAGATTTTGTCCATTTTTAATATTTTTTTCTTTCTTTTTTTATTCCTAAATAGTTGTATTTGTTGCCAATTTTTAAAATCACGTTTCTCTTTTATTTATTCATTGAGGCATTTTATTGTCACTACGTATTACATCCCTAGAAAAAGAATCTCAGATCCTGTGTGTTTTAGTCTTGCTTCCCCATGGTCCGTGATGCCAGCTGAGATTGTCAGCACAATGACCAAACTGATGGGCTGGGAGCAGATGATTCTGCCACTTTTCTAGATCTTTGAGTTACACATCAGATCTGGACTGATAACCCCTTACTTACTTAACCTGCATGTGAGGTTGACAGCTATTTTCCCCGCTCTGTGATCATCAGTGATTTCAGATTTGCCAAGGGTAGCCATTCTACTTCATAACGGTTAGGAACTGAAGTATGACTTTGGAGCCCAGCCTGATAAGAACCTGACACTTACCTCTCTTGTCAGCGTTGTTGAGAGCATCAGCCAGGACATTTATATGCATCATTGTGGCGTTGTGGAAAAAGGGCAGAAAGATCTAATCACCTTTAGCATGTCTTTGTTGTTTTTTGTGGGTTTTTTTGGGTAGTTTTGCTCACACCAAAGCCAAAAGTTTTTCCTTATAGTTGGTGCTGCTATTTTTATTGTTTAGCCACTGTACTTGTGTTGGGTCTTTTCAAAGCAAGCAGCAGTAGTTTTGAAAAGTAAAAAATGTTTTTACTGAAACAAGGTAAAGTGGAAATTGTCAAAAATGAAATGAAGACAAAGTGGAAAACAAAATTAAATGGAAAGCCTAAAGATCACTGTCTTAGGGATTTCTATATGTGCTGTCAAGTCAGAAGTGACTCGTAGCTGATGCTTCAGCAAGTTTTCAGAGGGTGTAAATCACGTAGGAGGAGATTGTCCATCTTTCTTCCAACAAGCAACTAGAGGACTTGAACTGCTTGCCTTTGGGTTGGCAATGCAACATTTTTACCACTCAGCCTCTAAAACTCCAATCTTATGTATTAGTGAGCTGAAATATTTGCCATTTTTAGCAATTAGTGAAAGGAAAAATCCATACACCTATAAGGGAGACCTGTAAGGGAATTAATATAAGTATTCTTTACATTTACACACCAGCCACGAATGCCAAATAAGAAAAAATGAAGATTTTTACCAACTTTTGTAAACTCAAATTGATTAAACATCAAGTCAGGATACACTGGTGCTTTCTGGTGATTGGGATATGAAAGCTGAAAAAGGAGGATCAGAGATTGGGAAATGGAGCTTAGAAATGATGCCAAGGATTACAGTTTTATAAGACCACCACTGTATTCATTACAGAATCCTTTTCTTGAATCTATAAAAGTTCAACAGCATTTACTTGTAGATCTCACTTAGATGGAATACACAGATCAACCACATCTGTACAGAGAATGATGAAGAAACTCAGTATCATCAGAACAAGGCCAGGCACGCAGACGGGAACAGACCATCAGATGCTCATGTGGAAGTTCAAGTTGAAGCTGAAGAAAATGAAAACAAGTCTATGAGAGCCAAATTAGGACCTTTAGTATATATTCATCTGAATTTAGAGCAATCTCAAGAATAGAACTTGAGGACAGATTCGGGAAAATTACTTTTTTATTATACTGGTTTATTTACAAAGTTCAAATACATTGTTTTTCACATTAGCTCTTTCCCATTTCCTTCAACCTCCCACCCGTCCTCAGCCCTCTGCTTCCACCCTCCCCCACCTTGGATCTTCAGACTCATTCTATAATAATGGTTTTATACAATATTTATCTTACAAATGGAACTCATTGTACACCAACTATTCCAACAGAACAAGGGAATATTAAAATCAGGAAAGATATATGTCAGTTTTATCCTTTTACCTTACTTATTCGGTTTGTATCCTGAACAGATAATCTAGGGAACCAGACTATATGTAGAAGAATGTGCATTAGGATTGGAGGAAGACTCAACAACTGATGATATATAGGTGACAATACTTTGCTGAAATCAAAGAGAGCTTGAAATACTTAAGCAGATCAAAAGACTTTGAAGCAGATCAAAGACTAAAGCCTTCAGTATGGATTATACCTCAACATTAAGGAAAATAAAATCCTTACTACTGGAGGCTTGGCGATAAGAAGTTGCACTGCCAACCTGAAAGGAGGCAGATCAATTCCACCAGCTGCTCCATGGGAGAAAGATGAGCAGACTCTAAACCCGCTGGATAGACAACTATGAGTTAGTTCCAACTCAACAGCACATAAT